AACCTAGTTAACGGCAAGGCTAGGGCAAAATAAATAAAATTTGGATGATTAATGGTTAGGAACTTTTTTTTACTATATTAAAATTTTTTAATTCAATTTTATTTTATTTTAGTTATACAATATGAGACAATTATCTTTTATCTTTTATCAATATGTGACTCAAACTCATAATTTCTTATTTTTAACCAAAAGATATAATCATTAAGTTACTTAAATCGTTGCTTTTTTAATTTAAATTTTAAAATTAAAAAAAATTAAAAAGTGAAGAGTTATTTCATATCTTTTAATATATTATTTGGTATATAAAAAAAGTTTCAAGATATCTTAAATTTGAATTTCTAAATCCCAGATATTTATTAAAAAAAAAAAAGGAAACGAGAAGTTTTGAGTTATAACAACAAAATGAGTAGAAGAAAGAAAAAGGAGAAAAAAAGGTACATCCTACCATATAACCTAAGTTTAATTTAGGTGACAAAATGGTTTGCGCTTCATTGTTATTCGTGAAAGTTTACAAGTAACATCAATTGGATTGAAAAAGATTTTCTAAAAATTTGATTGTAGCTTTGAGAGAAGCGTCTTGAGGAATGGAGTTAAGGGTCAATTTCACCTTTAAAAAACACTGTTTTTCTTGAATTTGGACATAGGAATTGTCCACAAAACTTGAACGTCCTCATCCAATAGGACATTGCATGACTACCAGACATTGCCTAGGGACAAATTAAGGGTCACATTAAGATTACGCAGTTAAAAGCATCTTAAATAAACTAGAGATTACTACCCATTATTGTTATTCACTAAAAATCTACCAAAAAAAAAAATTAAAACAAGAAATAAGACATTTCTGTTTGGGCCAGCACAATAAGTGGGCTGGCTTCCATTATGTCTATCTGTTTCGGGCAATAAATGGTTCAAACTAGCGGCCCATAACCATGGAAGCACATAAACAAGTTCTCAAACTTCACATCCTCTCTAAAAAGATTTTTCATTTTTCTTTTTTTCTTTTTTTTATGAATGAAAAAACAGCACTTATTCATGGAATACTTTGTGCCTGCTCGGGCTACCATCTAAAAATAAAATTTTCTACTGTAAAAGTTAAAATTATTACATCAAATTTTCAAAAGGTGCTTTTAACTTTTTCACAAATTAATTTTGGTTTTTAGACCGTTAGAAGTTAAAGCTATAAATTTGTAATTTTTGGAGTAAAAATTTTATTGAGGCCAGAGAGTTAATTGAATCACAAACTATATAAAATAAGGGTTTTTTTTAAATTGTATTTCAAGAGCAAAGATTAAAAGTGTAAAAAATATATTTTTTATTATATATTTGTATTAAAAAATAAAAATTAACATATAATTTATCAACCGTTTAATTAAATTTACTTATGTAGCAACGACACTAAAATTATGTAGCAATAACACTAAATGAACATTAATTTTTTACATTTTTTCTATACATATTTATAATAGAAAGATATTCTTAACACTCTTAAGTTAGAAAAACCCATAAAATATTTACAATTTTAAATGCAAATAATGTTTTTAAAAATTAAAAAAATTAACATCCAAACCTCAAATTCTAGAGTTACAAATCATGAATGTATTCTCTCTCTTTTTAAAAAAAAAATTAATATTGAGTTATATAATGAAAACTAATTATCTCTTATCTTTTAACTCATTTCACTCATATAACATATATTATGCCATTTAAATTCAAATTTTGTTACCTTTATTAAAAAAAATTACTATTTTAAGCTACAACTATAGGATTTATCTTAAATGATATGAGGTACACATTACCACGACTATAATTGTTAACATAGACTTAGAACCAAGATAATTTATCATACGAGACCAAAATTAAAAATTAAAGTATGAAAATATCTCAAATAATATCTAAAGAAACACTTCTAAGTCAAATTATACAATAATTACTAATTAGATCCTTAAACCTCCTATGAGACAAACAAAGTCCATTTAAGTAGTTAACAACACCAATCTCTCTTTTAACTTTTGTAACGGAGGGTAGACCGTTAAAAACAAACAAGAAACGGGCGCATGATGATTGAAAAGAGGGAAGGGAGAATGACCAAGCCTAATCTCTATGAGGTATTGTTGGGTCCACGTATCTTTCTAGGATCGGTTATGCCCAACAATTGTAGGGTAAGTAACCCTTTGCCAGCAATGCACTTATGCACGTCCAACGCAAGGGACAACTAGGCCACAATTGCACCTCCCCACACCCACCAAGTCCCTCCATTAGGGAACATCTCCCATCCCCATTTCCAACACTTTCCAAATATTCTCTGATCTCCAAAGCAGACATTAAGATCATGCCCACCCTCCATCACCTCCCCACCCAATAATCCAAATACTCCAATCAAAATTTAAAACCCACAATCTAATTTTTCCGAGCTGGATTTGTAAATCCAATCCAACAAAATCTATTACTTTAATTAGTATTAAGATTTTGTAAGTTGTAACCCATTGATCACTACAATAAAATAAACAACGAAAAAAAAAACATTACATAAGTTTTGCAACAAAAACCGTTAAAAAAAATTTTAACGGATAATTCGCGTAATTTTAGGGGTTTTTTTTTTTTTTTTTTTTCTAAATGGAAGGGGACCGATCGGAGTTGATCATTTTGAGTCGTCGGGTGGGGGAATCTAAAATTGAGACGGAACACGGCGCCGATGATGATAGAATTGACGGTGATGGCGAAGGTGATGGGGACGCTGACGGTGGAGATGACGAAGATGATGGTGATGATGAAACGGACGGTGGTGACGATGGTGGTGACGAGAGATCGTCGCTGCAATCTCGTTGCTTTCTTTTATTGATTCCTTTCTCTCTGTTTCCGATGACTCCTCTGTCTCTGACCTCTCTCGTCATGTAGTCTTTTAGCCGTTTCACGTCAGATAATTTCACCGGCTTCACTATGAAGTCCTCCGCACCTTCCTCTAAACACCTATAGAATGAAATGAAAATAACTGATAAATTTCCGATTTCAGTCGTTTCAAGGTCTTGGAACTTCGAAAAGGAATTCTAATTGCCAGAAAATTACCTGTCGATTCTCGCTAAAACATTCTCCGATGACATGATAACCACCGGAGTTTCCCGAAAAGCAGATGATTCCTGCTCAAGAACCGAAATTCAAATAACACTAATTAATCTGTAAAGTTGAAGCAGAATAGGAAAAAGAGCAGTTGCATAATTAGAATTTGAAGTCCTAACCTTAATTTTCTTAAGCAATTCGTAACCAGTCATTCCAGGCATGCAGTAATCAGTTATGATAAGATCCACCTTCAAATCCTGAAATCGGAGAATCGAGAAATCGTTTCAAAATCTCTGAAAAAATTTCTTGAAATTAAGCTGATGGCTGATAATTTCATTTTTCTACGCACCTGAAAACCGGTATTGCTCTTTTCCTCATCCAATCCGAGAAATTGCAGAGCTCTCCGGCCACTATCCACTGCCGTCACTGCACAGTCCAACCAAACCTCATTCAATCGGAATCCTAAAAACAGAACGAAAAGGAAAAGCAGAATAAAAATGTAACCGCTTCATAAAAAAAAACACGGATCTGATCACAAACCTTTACAAGAAGAAATTCTGAGCAACCTTTCAATAACTTTCCGATCAACGAGGCTATCATCAACAGCCAGCACATGAACTTCCTCCGAATCAGAAGGCGAGAGCTCAAATCCATCCACCTTCTCCGTCCTCCTACGCCAAGTCACGCCGT